GACCTTCCGGTTACAGATGCGATTCCCAACCCCCTGAGCCACGGTCGCCCACTCAAATTTAAGGGCTTGTTGTTAGCGCGGGTACATTCGGGACACTTGGATGGATTTTTGTGCTGTAAGGGGAAAAAAGAAACATTTGAATAAGACTTTGAAATACTGATTAAACCACATGCTTACAGACACAAATTGTAATTTTGAGTTTTTAATAAAAGAAAACCAAATGAAAATGCTGCAGTTGTGTTTTAATGAGCATACTTCACAGTAAACCAGCCCTGCTGTCATAAACCTGGTTTAAATAAACCTGACTGCAGTTGGACTTGCCTGGTTTAAGTTTTAACTTGCGTCCCATTTCAAAGCTTGTTCTTTGGACTATTTAAGTACCAGCATACTGTCACTTTTCCAGGCATTCAGCACGTCAACCTGAAGCATTTAAATCCATGAATGTTTTTGATTTTGCATCTCAACTAGCAGGAAACGTTCCCACAATGTTCTAATGGTGTTTTGAATGGACCTGTCAAACTGAAGGACTCATCAGGTACTGGCAGGCCAAGCAAAGTGCAGCTCTGGCAGCAGCTGAAGCAAAACCTCAGGTACAGACATGCATCAATGTCTGTACCTGAGTTTTTCCTTCCCACTGTCACCAAGGGCTTGCTTGTAGGAGGTCGTCTGATTGCTGGGGTTTCCTCTGTATTATTGTAGGGTCATATAAAGCACCTTGAGACTAATTATGTTGTGATTAGGTGTTATATTAGAAAAACTATTTGAAATAAGGTCTGGGAAGAGTTCGTTGAGTTCACTGACAAAGAATTTTGGTCAGGTTTAAAGCAATTCTGGCAAACAATCTCAGGAGGAAACAGTACCCACACTGTATAGTGGGGATGGAGTGCTGGTGATTTAGCTACGCTGTGGAAAGAATAGTTTGAGGATCTCCTCAAGCCTCGAAGAAGAAGCAGAGTCTGGGGATGATGGGGAACAGCTCCTCAGCAGTGTCTACTCTGGATTAGCAGACTGGGTTGGTGGGTTTCCTCTTTAAGAAAGGGGAGCAATTAAAACTATTAAAAACACAGACGTGTTGTTTAATTGTCTGTCTGTGGGAATAAACTTGAAAGCAATGATTCTCAGGAAGGTGAATAAAAATATGAGTTTTGGATTCTGTAAATGGATTATGGACTAGAATGATAACAGCATATTATGTGGGGGTTAAACTCTAAAGAAAGATTCAAAAACAACATTTTGGTGCATCATTTTATTTTGAAAGGAAAAAATATACATATATATTTATAAATGGCCTTTAGAAAGCAGAGAGGAATGTCATGATAGGAAACAAAAAGAAAACCTTAAAGTACATTTACATTTGTACGCTTTAAAAATTCTTTAAAATATGAAGTTTCAATAAATACTTCAATACATTTAGGCATGCGGATATATTTTTCATGATTTACATTTCATTACAGTATCATTCTTAAAAGCCCCCCCCCCAATCTTCGTTATTGCACTTACGTTGTAACTGGTTTGTCATCAAACCAATCACATGCATAAGGTCGTAAAGGTCAAACTGGCAAAGAGTTATGGGTGGAATTTGAAATCTAACAGAGTTAAAATGGTTACAAAAAAAAAACAAACCCTGTAAAAGTTTAAAAAAAAGAAAAGAAAAGGAGAAAGTCAGCTCATCTGCTGCCAAAGGTTTACACTCATACAGATATATTTAAAAATCTAACTGGGTGAAGAGGAACTGCGTGCAAATTATTCATGATGACTTTAACACTTAGCAGCAGTCTTTTACTCTGACAGTCAACTAATTGTCTTCCTGTTATACAGTATGCAGAAAACATAATGCTACAGTTAGCTTAGCTTAGCATGAAGACTAGAACACAACCCCACAGGAATTTTAGGAGCAATACTGTTGAGTCTGTGTTTCCACTTCTGCTAGTTTAGAGACGAAAAAGATTTTTCATTTTTTTAAAAATCCAGTATTCAGACGCATGAAACATAAACACACTTCCCTAACATTTGCTATGTGTAGTTATTTATTAGTTTAAACAAGGCCAAATTCAGGTTTGTCAGAATTTGATGGTCTGTGTTTAAAATCAGCCAAGTAACAGTCCTGCTTTGACATAATTACATCATAAAAAAACAAAACAAAACTAGCATCTAAAACTCATTAAGTATTGCTTTTAAACAGAGAAGCTAGCTCTGTTTTTAGTCTTTATGCTAAGCTAAGCTGGTAATCATTCAAACACAGCAGCACTGATGTTATCAGTGCAATGTCAGCATATGTGAGAAGAAAAAAGAAGATATATATATATATGACATGTTGCTCACTCAGTGCATGGCTTATCAAACAGGAAAATGTGGGATTAGTTTTTCAGTTAACAAGTTTTCTCAACAGATATTAAAAACCAAACCAAAACACCCCCCCCACCCACACACACACACACACACACACATCAACAACTCCAGTAAATAAGGTAAGGAAGCAAGCTCGGAAAACATCTTTCATAAAAGAAGGCAGTGGAAAGACAGCATCTCTCAGGTGAGGAAACTGACAGTAAAAACAACAAATGAGCACAGCACAATAAATAGAAACGTCACACATACTCCTAAAGCTCATCTATGAATCCCTGCCACACCGTGTAAAGCATCTGAATTATTACAAAATAATATGCTGGTTATTTTCATTGTGTGGAGATAATAGTAAAAAATAAAGACAAGAAGGAAGAACACCCATCACCGTTTCCTAAAGCCAAAAGCAATGTCTTCAAATGTGTCAAATATCTAGGTTACGGTTAGCTAATGTGCAGCTAACTATCACATACTAAATGAAACAGAAAAAAAGAAACAAAACAAAAACAAAAAAAATTCTAAAATTTCAACATATCGGCCAAATATCATTACACTACCAGCTGATATCGGCCCCTCTTGACTGACGCTACGCCCCAAAAAACACAAAACAACGATTTTACCGATATTAGTCAATATTTTCTTTTTGCCAGATCAATTTTGCACTGTTGAATTCTTAAAAAAAAAAAAAAACACGATAAAGAGATTAAAAGGCAGTTATATTTTAAAATCAAGATGAATTTGTTTCTAGCACAAAAGCAGAAATAAACAAGAAAGAAATGTCAGTCAAATTCTTATTTTAGAGAATGTGAAATTCTAGACCGATAACAATCTGTGGATCTGTATCTAAAGAGCCGAGCTCCATTATAGTGATTCATATCTACTTTTTTTTGCTTTTTGGTTCTGCTATTTGTCAATGATGAATCAAGATCAAAGTAATAAATGAAAGGGAATCTGGTCCCAACAATATTTCCATCTGTAAGGTGGACAGTAAACTCTGCCAAACACAGAAAACATCCAAAGCTACATTCAAGAAATCATTTATACTTCAAATGGAGCTAAAATAGAAATGTCATACAGGTATACATCTGTCAAAATACTGACCTGGTGTTAACGGCATCCTTATAAAAGAAGTGGAGGATGCACAACAACAGATAAAGCTTGTTATGTAAAACCACAGCTCTTTGTGTGCTGATGATTACAGTGTGACAGTGTGACTATGACGGGAACACCAGGGGCCAGATGTGCTACTGGTCTACATCAGCACCAAGCTAAAAGACGCCGGCAGGTTTTCTTTGTGGCTGGCTTTATGTTTATGTATTAGACAGATTTTTCAGTTCAGAGTGCAAAGAAGAAAAAAAGCGACAGATTTAAGAGAAAAACTCAAAAAATAATGTGGCTTTTGTTTCAGTCAAAAAGCATCGCTTTACTTTTCAAGGTTCAGCTGATCTTCTGGGATCAATAACTCATTAGAACAACAACAACATCTTTTTTCCAGCATGTTCAGGTTTTTCCAGTCATGCTCTGACCTGGACTAACAACACAGTTGCAAAGTGTAATGCCGAAACGTATAATACATACATATCCCGTTAATCAAACCATATGTAAAAACGAGCTTCTATTGTTATCAATAATTGGCAATTTTTAGGAGGGAAATTACTAAATCAGTTAAGAGAACATTTAATATCATTTCCTTATAAGCTTTTTTATTTTCATTTTTTAACAATTTGCAGCAATGGACCACCCAGAATCTACATGCTGGTGACATAAATGAGAACAAAGTTATTGCTGATATGAACGTCTTTTTTCAGTGTTGAACTTTATGATCCCAGTGCTGTCTGTACAGGTCAGAGGATGACTTTTAAATGCATGGAGTTGGTTTGGTATGCTTGAAAAAAGGCATACCGAACATATTTGTATGGATTATTAGTCCCAGGAGTTCACATATCTGAATTTCTTCTAACTTAACCTGGAAACGTGTAACGACAGATTCCTTTTTCCGAGTTTTATTCTCGTAAATTTGTACTTTTTTTTCTCCTCGTACATTTGACACTTTTTTCTAAAAAAAAAATGTACAACGTTTGTGTACATATATGAACCACCGTGACCCTAATACGCCTTTTAAGTTCAGGCATTTTTGAGTTGAATTTGTCATTTTATTGAACCTATTTGAGTCTTGTCTTTGTCCTGAATATGGGCAGCCTCACGCAGCATGCAGGAGTGAAACAGAGTCATGAGCACATTTACAGTTACAGTAAATTCGACAGACAGATGGTTTGGGGTTGGCCTTACTCTGGTCCTGCCTGAGACCATTATCCCAAGAACAGCTGTCCCAAACTCCAAGATCCCACGCAGGCTTCATCGAGTTCTAACAGAAGAGTTCGTCTTTGTCTTAAAACATATAGATTCTCCTTCAGCTGTTTTAGAGTGAAAACCTACACTTGCTGGATTACTTGCTTCCTCGTCCGCTCTGCATGTTTTTGACCCACTCGTTTACACTGCCCTCAGGAGACTGCAATGGTTGAACTGGTGGTTAGATTTGCACATTATGAGCATTATCAGCACATTCTTGCATTAGTAGCATCACATCGAGTAAATCTGGCCCCAGGTCTGTTATTCTCACACATATTTAGAGCTGAAAAGCAGCCAATCTACAAGTTTGCGTTTGTCTTTGATGACCAGCTGAGCTGTCTCATCCTGTGTGACGTGCAGGTAAACAGAGATTTTACACATTTGCAAGTTGACTGGATTATTTTCTAACAGCCCTCAGAGTATTTGGGGGCACTTTGTACTGCAATCAGGTGCTTTCACAGTTCTAAAGCCCTAAAACAGATGCTGGACGTTCAAATTGATTCCGATAAACTGCGTGGGTGATTACACAAAACCTCATCTCAAAGTCAAAGTTTGGCGATTTTGTAAATATGAATGTTAATACCACTCTCGTATGCACTCAGTCCAACTATTCCTTTAAAAAGATGTACAGTACAAATGCTTGTTGTGTAGTAAAATGTAAACGCTCAGACTGAAGGTTTACCATCACTGTGAGCAAAATTCGTGTCCTCAAACAAACCCGTCGCAGCAAGCTACAGTACGACTCGGACGTGATGAGAGGTCAGAGGTTGTATCCTCGCCCAGAGAGCCACAGCAATGACATAAAAAAAAAAAAAGATTAGTGGTCCATCTTTACAAACAGCGTACATGAGTAAGAAAAAAATCCTCTAATATATATTAAAAAAAGAAAAAAATCGAGGGTTTTTGTTCAAATTGCACCAAGAAATCTCCAGGTGACTTAACCCTGGCTTGCCTGCTTAACTTGGTTTCACTTTGTTTAAACTCTTTGTGTTAAAAAAAAAACAAAAAGGTGGGGGGGGTTAAAAGATTCCTTTGATGAACCGCATTAGTTTTCCCAGTCAGTGCAGGGAAGACCTTCATCCTCTGACTCTGACTCAGGAGAGGCCTCCTTGATTCTCCTCAGAGCCTCGTGAATGCTGCGGGTCAGAGCGTCGGCCGAGTGGGGGAAGCTTTTGGGATGACGCTGCTGCTCCGGTCTGGTCCGTACCTTCCTAAGCCGGACGCCCTGTCGGATCTGAGCCAGGATATTGTTGCTGTCGTCATCCGGATCCGGGCCCAAGACCCGCAGCTCAGCCTTCCTCAGGTGGAAACTGCCCCGCTTGAGTGATGCCAGCACCTCATCCATGGGAGAGCTCGCTGAGAACGCAGGGCAGAGACAATTAGCCTCACAGTGTTTAGGCTTGGTTCGCCGTTTAGCACACAGCCAAACAACCTACTGCTGACACACAATTTAGCTCCAACCTCTGTTTAAATACACCATTTCCTGTGACTGATAAAATGCTTAAATTACCTCATTTAAAAGTAGGTACCGAATGAGTGTTATGTGCCTTACATTAAACATTTGTAGTATTAACCAACCATGAAGGTCTCTACTGCAATGAAAAGTTCCCTGCCCACCTCTCCTCCACTGCGACGAGTCCAGAGAAGCCGTCTTCCGCAGCTTTTTCCTCGCCGTTAACAGCTGGCTGCTGTCAAAGAATCGAGGGGAAAATGGAGCCAGCGGGAGCGAGGTGGAGTCAGACTCGCCTTTCTGGTGTTGAAGCGTGACGGCTGTGAGGTTCTTCTGCTGGTCGTCCTCTGAGGTGGGAAGTGGTGGAGGAGGCGGAGGAGGAGGCGGTGGAGGCGGGGGAGGGGCACCCAGTGAAAAGTTTGACGGCGTGGCTGAGAGTGGGGGCAGCGATAGGAAGGGAGGCGAGGGATCGAGGCCTTGGAGGTCGACCGCAGGTAAAGAGACGCTGTCGCAGCCGTACGCGTCCGGCGGGAGAGGAGCAGAGAGTTCTGGGAGATCTGAGACGCAGTCGGTCTGAACGCCGGCAGCCTGGGTGCTGGGCTGCTGCCCAGCACGCCTCCGACTGTGAGTCTGACTCAGGCGCAGGCGGCTTGACTTTAGAGTCACCTGGCCTGGATACCTCTGTGTGGGGAAGCAGCAAGAAAGAAAGTAAAGCTGAAGGACTGAGTGCAGTTTAAGCAACATTACACACATGATTTTGCTTTAACCTCCTAGGACCTGGCGTACACATATGTGGACATCACAATTTGGGTTATTTAGACCAATATACTACATTTTGCTCTACAAGTGCCTGAGATCCACTTACGAGGACATTATACTGCCACTGTTTTATTGAAATTTTAAACAAATATCCTCATATGTGGCTCTCACTTTTCTTAGAAACAAAAATCAGGTTCTTTGTTTTTACATCCATCGGGTCCCAATCAGCCCAAATATCATAGAGAAATTAAAAATGCATGCTGTGGAAGAGTTCGGGTCTTAGGAGGTTAATGTATCAAGACTATGTAGATGTCACTGCAAGAACATAAAACACTGTGGACAAACACAAACTCATCTTTTAACTAAAAAAACGAAAAGTTACTAATCATTGGTGTTTGAGGAGGATTCAGTGAAGGTTCCTCCTCAGATGACGTGTGTGTTTATGTTAAGTCCTCACCTGCTTGAGGCTGCGAAGCCTGTCAAGTGTCCTCTGCCTCTCCTGACTCACTCTGGCGTTTCGCTTAGCTTCATCATCTTCATCTCCCTTTTCACAGAAACAGCAAATGAGATGAATGTGTTGTAGCAGGGTGAGGAACAATTGCTGCTTTCACTGCTTTGGTATCGATATTTGAAATTTGTCTCGCAGCAAGCTCTAAATCAAAAAAGTTCGATCATTGCTACAGAATATTCGCCATGTCTGTGAGCATCAAAGTGGACTCCCTGTTTTCTTTCTGGTGCTATAAAAATAAAACTGCATTGAATTAACTGGTAATATCATCTCTTCATTTACTGACAGAGTAGAACAGTGAATATATAAATCCTATCCCTTGCGGCCACAGATAGAAGTTTCTTACCTGCTGCAGCTCCTGCAGGGATTTGCTGTCAGTATGGCTACCTTGGCGCTGTTGTATCTTCTGCTTGTGATTGATGATACAGATTTCCTATTTGAGGAAGAACAGAACACAAACATAATGTTATTATAGACAGACCTGTCAAACTGATCCTTAACCCACAGGAGATAAAGCACACGACCGTATCTTCATCCATCGGTAATTCACCTTCTTATTTTTGAGGTAGACTTTCTTGGCAGTGATGCGGCCCCTGCGGGCCTCGAGCTGCCGGGTCCTCTGCTGCAGGGTGCAGAGTTCTTCTTCTCTGAGGGGTGACGGTGGGGTCGTGGGGTCTTCTACACCCTTCATGGCATCAGGACTCTCAAAGGTATCGTAGTACACCACCTCATCCTGTCGCTCTGGCAGAAAATCAGAAGACATTGAAGATTCAAATGCTGCTTGTGCAGCTTATACAGCTCGTAACAATGGCTCGAGGATTTGATCTCTGACTGACTATGAGTAGAAGAAAAAGTGGTACTGAGTGATAAAGTCAAAGCAGGACAGCTGTGGTGCCACGGGATAAGCAAAGGACTTAACTGGAGGATGAGGTTGGAAACCAATGAGAAGCCAAAACATTTTGTTTTATACTTGAAAACCACATTTTTCAGCACATGTAAGCTTCAGTCATGGGTCTGACACACTGAGCTATAACAGAAAAAGAGAAAGAAAAATAACCTGAACCAAACCATCTAAAGAGATGCTCACCTGTCATCTGCCTGCGCAGACTCTGCAGCTGGGCAGTGAGCAGCAGCTCCTCGCAGCGCAGCACCTCGGCCTGAATGTCATACAGCTGCAGCTGTAACTCATAGTACAGCGCCTCCAGCTGGTCCAGGCGAAGCATGGCATCCTCCCCATCCTGTAGACTCTGCATCTAGAACAACAACCACAGAGACTATTTCAAAGGCCAAAGGGCACCGTCCACAGGATTTTCCAAAAGCTCTACCTGAGTGACTGTGCATTTATATTTCACATTAACAGATCCGGTGGAAGCTGAACCAGTGTTTGTGTCTTCTCTAAGTGCTATGCTACAACACACAGACCAGGTACATTTTTAGTTTTAGTGTATTTTCAAATGCACAGCAAACATTTGACCTGACAGTCATTCCCAGTGAGTCATTTCCACTCCTGCAGACCAGGAAGTTGTTCCCTCCATTACAGGATGCCACAGCCATGAGCTCATTTTTCCATCACGGCTATTATCTCGAGTTCTTCTCTTCTGTTAACTTCACTATATCCATGTCCTCTTATTGTGGCTTCTTAAAAACAAACCTGACTGAGCACCACCTTTTCAGAACACACCCAGATACACTTCAGAATTTTGACACCGATCTTGGTCCACACGTGTGATTTGTTTTTGGGGGGTTTTTCAGCAGCATCAGCATGTTATGTTTTACCTCCTCCTTCAAGCCATGTTTCCTCTGTTCCAGGCAGATCTCTTTGGCCCTCATGAGCTGCAGAGTTTCTTTGGAAACGGCAAACTGCAGCCGCTCCATGCGTTCAACCGCTGCTGTCCACGCTGACTTCCCAAACTTTCTCTGGTCCGCTCGCATCCTCTCGTATAGAGCTATAACGCATACAGTAAAGAAGTAAGTGAAAAGGGCTAGAGCTGCAGAGATTAGTCAGCTAGTTATCTGGCAAATGATTAGACATTTAAACAGCAGTTTAATGACCATAATTGTGGTTAATAGTTTTGAATCATTTGGAGCAAAAAGAACATGTGAGAAAATGGTTTGGCCTAAACGCTATAGTTTATTTCTGGAGCATTAAATGCCTAAAATGGACAAACCAGCAGTGCTTTGACTTGAAATCCGAAGTAAATAAAGTCCATTTGAGGAAAAACACATTTTTATTCCAATTCATAGCAGAGAAGGTTTGAGGATTAAAATGTGTCACGAGTCAGGGTGGAGTGTATGTTAATGACTTTGGTATGCCAGAGGTTGGAGATGAGAACAGAGCCAGAATGTTTTATTCTCACATGATCTCTAAGCGCTCTCTTATGAAGTAAACATACTTTTATAAAGGTTCAAAGGTCACCACAAAAACAACGCCACACATTGTTTTCTGAAGAGAGAAACTAGCCTCCTGTGTGTGTTTACCTTTCTGAGACCGAGTTGTGGTTTCAAAGAACTTGACAGTCAGGTCTTGAATGGAAAGCACTGCGGCGTGAGCCTTCTTCTGCCACTCCTCGTCCTCTTTTCTCAGGCTCTCCACACGACGAGGGCCGAGTCGCTCAGTCTCCAGAGAAATCTGGCAGGAGTTAAGGCAGCTTGTTAGAACAGCTTAAATGTACAGTACTTAGATCAGGTATCATCAGTGAGGTAACAAGAGTTTGTATAGGAAGATTTTGCAACACATGTTGGTATTTATGTCTTGGTCTTACTGTTCTTTAATAATGTTTTTTTTTAGTCTATCTTTGTTTACATTTTGGCAAACAGGCTCCAATTAAATGATGCCAAACTAGCAGCTGTCGGTTCCTGTTTATGTATGTTTATGTATACTGGATTACTTTGAAACTGTAGAAAACTAAAAATATGTGTAAAGCACATTTCAGAGTTAGATGGAGATTCCCAAGCAGTTTTATGACCATCGTAGACTGTATATAAAAGATGGACGCAGCTTCCTGGTCTGAAACTTAAAGCAGACGAGGAAGCTCCTATTAGGCCACAGTTTTTTTTTCCTGATGAGTTTATGGACTTGATAATTGAATTTCAAGCAAGAAGCAACATTCTTGTGCCAAAAACTTCAGCTCTAACCGCGATTTGAGCCAATCCCTCTAGACTCTCTCACACACACACACACACACACACACACACACACACACACACACACACACACACACACACACGTTTATGTATATATAAATATAAAAGAGATCAATTTTTCAATCCCAGCTGGGCTAACTTGGCCCAAAGAGAAATCCATTGCCTTAACTGCCTCTTTGAGCTCCCTTTTGTTTGAAGAACACTGGCATGCACCTGTTCTGATCATTGTATGCCCCGCCTTCCTTTCTCCAAATGCCACTTCACCTCTGCCAGTTTGAAAACCACCACAAAAGACCATCTATAGCATTCTGAAATACCAGGAAGTCACAGCAGATGGTGATAACAAAAAGGAAATGGCTTAGGCGCATCTGTGCACGCTTATACAGTGACACTGACCCAGTATACTTGTGAACAATAAATAAAACGATACATGCACAGAGGTCTTTTTTGTCCTCCTGCCATGTGAAAAAAAGAGTAAGAAAAAGAAAAGCGGTGTCACGTGGAGTTGTGTTCTGGGTGTTGAGGGAGAAATACAAGCCCCTCTAAGAGGAGAGGGCAGGGAACAAAATGTACACACAATATAAGCTAAACTCCTTGCGAGGGCCTCCTGTGCATGCAGTCGTATTTCAATATCTTGATGCAAAACAGATGTGCGTAGCTGCTCAAAAATAAACAAGACTATAATAATCCCAATCAAAGCCCAAAGGCTTTGATTTATGTTAACCAGCATACTCTGCGCTTTTATTCTTGTGCAAGTGAGGCACAAGAACAGGGAGTGGTTCGGGGGTGAAACCGGGAGCAAGCGGGGGAGGAGAGTCTACATCAAAAGAAAAGAAAAAGTCTGGCAGGAACAAATCTTAGAAAGTATATTATTTATTCACCTAAAAATTACAACAACATGAGGAAACAAGAGCAAGGTTGCCTTTTAGCAGGTCGATCCCACCTGTTGAGGATGGACAGACATTCACCAGCCTCCTTTCCTTTACCTCTTTGCATGCCATCACTGACTTTGTCCCTGCTGACCTCGGCAGCAAATCAAACTGAAGAAAACATCTCTGCATAAAGTTGGCTCTTGATCATCAGTCTGTTAGACTGGTTTTATGCAAAGCTGAAACGCATCCAGACAACTGACAAAATGCATCACCTGCTCTACGAGTAAAGCAGGCCAAAGCCCGTTGAAATGTAACACAAACGCTAGCATTTGGGGAATTTCCTGAAATGTGCATTGTTTGAATATACTTTGTGTCTGATCAAAGTCTCAGTAAGTTATGGAAATAAAAGAAGTGCGGTGCAAACAAGTGATGATTCAAACCTGTAAAGTTGCTCGGAAAAGGTGACACATTCCTATGACTAATATACATTTGGACTGTGAGCCAAACGTAGTAAAGGAGTTTTACATTTTAATTACATGTCAGCTTTCAAATGCCTTCTGCATGTTTGGCTGTCTGAAAAACAGGCCAAGTAGCCACACAAATAAAATTAGCATCCTTTTTCCCCCAGCCTACTCCCTTCTAGCATTTTATCACTCACTTCCTGCATACAGTTTAAAAATACAAAAAACAATGGTGGTGGGGGTTGGGGGGGAGTTACGTCTGTTAACACCTCTGGTCATGGTGTCATACAGTGATATGTCAGCCCTACTTAAAACAGAGGTGTGACGCCATTTCCCACGCTAAAGTGCTGGGATTACAGGACGGATGCTGTCACGGTCGCCCTTATCTCATTTGATTAAAATAGCATGACTGTGGTAGATACGAGGCAGTCTTCATCAAACAATTATTTATTATTATTTGAAAAACCTGCAGTTCCTTCAAAGAACCAATTTTAAATCGTATCGTGAGGCATTTTGTTACTAGCATCCTGTCGCAAAACACAGGAGTGAGTGTATTAAAAAAAAAGAAAAAAAGAAAAAAAGACAACACAGTTAACCAGGGATAAAATAGAATTTTTTGGACCAGGAGGGTGATTCTCAATCAGATATTAGCTGAAAACTTGACATGTGCAGCATGTCTTTCACATCTACAGGAAATGAACAGTATCTGAAAGTCACGTCCTGCAAAGAACTGACACAGGCCTGGGACGTGCATCTGGCCTAACAGTTGATCAAGCAACTGTTTCCCGAAGCCTTATCAGAGATACTCTCAGTGGGAGGGTGGCTGCCAGGAATCAATCTTAAGGATGGGAAACAGGCCAAACTGCACAAGAACTGGATTGAAAATCAGTGCCAACATGTTTTATGAATTACTGGATCAAAATTTTACATCTTTAGTCATCAGTATGTATTGAGGAGGTAAAAACAGAAGTACAACAGTGAGTGTCTACAGTCATCTGTAAAACATGGTGGTGTCTTGGTCATGGTTTGGAGCTGCTGAGAAGGAAGTCCTTCAATATATGATTTATTTAATTAACTTTGAACTTAAACATTTAGACCACAAAGAAAAAATGAGGACTTCTATAACTAGTAAAAAAAACAATTAGATTAATTGCTTAATCAGCTAATTTATGTGCATAGAAATGTTTTCTCTTAGCCCCTTTCCACTATTACCTACTCGGCTTGGCTCGGCTCAGTGTATAGAGTTTTCCATTAGATGGTATCAACAGACAGGCTTCCACACATTGGCCAGTCACTGAATTCACTCCATGAGTCATGAGAGCGACTATGTCACAAAACCCGCCATTTTTGAAAATGGCTACACAAAAAAAAAACCCAACAACACCGCGGTCCCCAAGTTTGACGAAAAGCTGTACACCGAGCTGCAGGTATACCATCGCGTCGACGTCCTCCATTGTAGGGTTGTGTGTGTCGCATGCAAATGGCATCACAGGACTTTCAAGAGCACTGGTGTAATGACCCCAGGCACATTAGGTGACATTTATATGTAATGAAAGCCACCAAAACCGAGCCAAGTCGAGTCCCTTCGAGTCGAGTTGAGTAGGTACTAGTGGAAAATGGCTTTTTGAGTTACAGGAAATTAAAACAAAGCTGCCTCGGTGACACACTGAAGTAATGACAAAAGAAGTCGAGGAAATAAATGTTTTTCAGTGATGCAGGGCGGTGGAGAGGTGGAGCATAGATAAAAGAGCAGAAGAACTTAGTAGAGGTGAATTTAGTGTAGCATGTTGACAACTGTTGCCATGTTAGAATGAATACAATGTGAAACTGTAACTGGAGCTCACCATGGCACAAAACCATCTCTGCCATGCCACAGTGAAACCACATTTTTAATTCATGGCTGCCCTCTGACCTCCTGAGCAACAGGACACCCACGCTGGACTGCTCCGACATGCTACGGACAATGCACCGTTCACCAAAATGCCTGATGAGAGAACATTCATTCAATTTTCCATCAGCTTTTCGCCGTTTCTGGTAAGCTCAGATGTCTCCAGTTGAGAGCGTGAAGCCCTTTAGCTGAAAATTCACAGCTGAGCAGTAACAATGGTCAAATTAATGATTAAACACATATATTCATACATCTCAGCTCCTAGTTTGTCAGCAATATTCACTGCTTTCTGACATTTTACAGGCTAAACCATTTTAAAGTTAATTTAGGAAAAATAATGATCTCCAAGAAGATTAACCTAACTTTTAAGTACCAAAAAATATATCATGCGAGTATTAAATAATTTTTTTCCAATTCTCTCTAATGTGTAATACCTCTACCTGACAAGATTACACCTTACTTAGATTACTTTCAGACAGTCATTTCCTCTTATGTGATTCCATCTGATTATGTTAGCTTCGTATATGAATGGCAGTCTGGTCACTTTTCAGTAAAGGTCAAACATGCATCACTTTAAACTTTCAATACATCCTGAGTCTGAATGCACGTAGTCACATTAACAGCATGCACAGAGCTCTCCTCTATCTTCAGTTGATTAGCTCACAAGGGGACAATTTTTTTTTTTTTAGAGAAATCATCATCATCATGTCAGGGGCAAAAAAGAAAGGAAAAGAAACTGTTAGACTGTTTATTAAATATCCGGCTACTTCAACATTTGCAAACATATAAACAGAGTGAAAAAGATGGTTTGCTTGCTTTTAGTTGCCACATCCACTCACAGGCCTCTATTCTAACTATCACAGATTTAAGACGTTATCAAATAAAGCTTTACAATTTCAATAAGGAGAACAGAGTCTGGCTAATGAAACTCTTTCTGTTCTTTGGAATCTCATGTACAGAACATTATATACTGCAAGTACTATGCATGGTTACATTACTGTTGCAGGAACGCTTACATGAAGCCATAAAAGTGACATATGTCTGAATAACAGGACGCCACCATTTAACAGACTGATGAAACCAGCATTGTTGTTTATTTAAAAGGGCTCCGCTGTAACATTGCAGCGTGTAGGTCCTTGAAGCACTTTGGTCTTTTCACAATAACCTCATACATGCCATGTGTATTACTGCATTCACACTTGCAGATGAGGTCAGAACAGGTTATAATACTAGCACCCGTCTGCCTTTTTCCTCCTCATCTTTACGACAACAAGCAGGATGCAAACTGCATGTAAGTGACAATCTCCTATGTGCTGATTCCCTCTTACACCTCTTCCCCTTTCTTCACAAAGGAGAGAATCTCCACAAACCCCTGACTCATCAGTTTGAAAAAAGCCCGCTCCCTTTAGTCTGTGTCAAGGTATCATTTGCATACAGCTTTGTTTTCAGCCGTTGGATCGCCCTGAAGGGAGCAGGTGGTACAGCTGGAAAAACTTGGGCACATGAAGCACATGGAGAAAATAAAAAAGGTTTGAGGTAAAAGTTGAAATAGTTGCATTCATTAGACACTACATTAAAGTTCAGGTTTAACATCATACCACACACAGACTACCAAACAAATGCTGAAGGATTTGTTTTCAGCAATGTAGCAGATCTATAAAACCTGAGGAATTAAAAGAAAGTAACAGAAAGTCCGACTCTCAGACTCTCGCTGATTGTAAAACACCTGAAAAATCTTGGGGTAAAAAAAAAAAAAGGAAGAAGAAGAAGAAGAAGAAGAACAAGAACAAGAACAAGAAGAACAAGAAGAGAGAAATGTAATCTTAGGAAAACATTTTGATGTTTACCTGTTTTTATTTATCTATTTTATTCACAATCACAAATTCTCTATTTCATATTTCAACAGTTAAAGCAATATTATAAACATTACTATGTAGTATATAAAAATGCTGTCATGGGCTAAGCTTGCCACATGCTGGACTACATTTCCCATAATGCAATTCATAAGCTCTTTAATTCAACAAAACGCCATGCTTTTACAGCCCCACCTACCCACCCACAGCACAACAGTTTGTATTGCAGCATTGTAGTAATCTACACAAAAATGTACAAAATGTCAGTGAAGGCTTCACACTTTGCACAGTTCATCAGAAACACATTGCTTATTTCTACTGATTTTTTTTTCCACAGCATAAACAAGACTGCTAATCTTAAAACATAAGACTGCCAACACAGCTTAAAGGATTAGTTAATCTGCATTAATGGGTTACACAACTTATAAGCAAAAAATATTCACTGGTCATGGCCGGTTGTGTCAAATGTAAAATATTCACAATTTTTACTATTTTCTACCTTTTTTTCCTTGGTGCTTTGCACTCTCTTGCTCAAAAGCAAGATACAAAAAATATAAATAACTAATTGGCTATAGCAAAATACCAGAAGCTTTGAAAGATAAAATATACTGTAGATTTACTGATTCAGAAATATTTTTCTTATTGTCAATAAATAAAAAAGACCAACAATCAATGACGTGTTAGCCCTCCTCTAAAAACAGGTTGCGAAAAGAAAGATTTTTAGTAACACTAACTTTACACTTTATTTACAGGAAACTATTTTAGGTTATAGATAAATCCATGAAGCCTTTGGTAGCTGGACATTTATAACAACAAACTACAGTTTATATTTGACTCAGTTCCACTAAGTGCAACACTGATGTGTTTTTATTATATCTGACAACAGTGGAGCTTTGCATACAGCGAGTAGAAAAATGTACTAACACTTAAAATTTTGATTTCTTTTTTCCTTTTTTCCTAACTATTGCAAATATTTAGACTTCTCCTTAAAAAAAAGTGCAAAGGGGAAAACAGTGAAATATCTCACTTAACATCAGGATCTGCCCAAGAACCATCATAACACACACTCAGAAATCACACCCAAGACACACACACACACACACACACACACACACACAGGCACTTGTGTTGTTAGTGACAAGATGCCGAATAAGCATGCTGTGAAAGTCATGTTGACAATGTAAAATACTCACAGCCCAACTGTGGGTGAAAGACTGAGACAGTCTATGAAAGAGAACAAAAGACAGGTAGAGAGATAGTAATAGGGACTGTATGGGACATTATTTCTATTGTCCATTAAATTAATGTCCATGAAACGTGCCTAACATGCGTTGTGCTTATCAGTGTAGACTGACTCTGTTTAGAAATTAATGGCAATTATTTACAAACATTCACCAATCTGTCTGACAGTGTTTGCAATCAGTCTGAGCTAGACCACAACTATTTGGATACAGGATGACTCCCAAGAGACAACCCAGGCAGTCACCTTGTGATCAAAAGTCAGGGATGCTGCATGACCAGTCTGTGGGCAATCAGGTGATCACCCTGACCACTTGCAATTTGTGGCTGAATGTAAAGAAATTCAATCACAGCAACCTGACCTAGTTGCAAGACAGTTGTTGTCCTATTTTTACTCTAGCTAACTTCTAGTCTGATTGTCTTGGTTGAAAATATGAACTATCATATTAGTGAGAAATCAGCTGACTTATCCAATTTTCTATTGAATTTCAATGTTATGTATATCACTTCTTATCCGCTGAGCTTTTGGACAAGTGTACGAGAAGCAGCTAGAACTCTGACCTACTGACTGAGCAGGCATGTGCCTCCTCCTCTCCATGAAGTCTGTGAGACAGTAGGGATTAGTCTGTGGATTTACTTCCCTTTCCAAGCCTAATGAAGAAAAGCAACAAAGACAGAGCAGAGAAAGAGAGTGGGAAACAGAAGGCTGTGCTGAGGCTGCAGAATTACTGAGTGGTTTAGTGACTGCTGCAATAATACTTATGCTGGTTAAGCTGCTCTGCGCTGGGGGAAAGCCTCTCTGCTGATCCTCTGACCTCCACAGCCCCCAGTAGCAAATGCATAGCGCAGAGCGGCTACTACCCAACCATCAATACCACTGCACCCAGCCTAAACACCTAACACTGCTGGTCAATGCACTTGGCTTAGAAGTGTAGGCTCATCATGCAGCGGTTCAGGGATCGTTTTCCAGCACTAATCAAACCATAGCAACAGCACTTTAACTGCTAACATGCACCACTGTAGAGCACGCCGACCAGTTAGTCGGCAATAGCTAGTGCTAAACCTACTTAAATCAAGCCCCTCAAACAGATGGTATTTGTATCAGTGTGCCTGTGTGTATTACCTTAATCTGCTGTCGGCGCAACATTGCCAGTTCCCTCATGTCCCTGAAGGGCTGAAGCAGGTAGTGATAGAGCTGAGTTGTGGCTTCCAGCAGCTCTCCATACGCTTCGTCCTCCTCCGGGTACACCTGCAGCAGCTCCACCATGCTGTCCATCGCTTTGTGTTTATCCAGCACCTGGAGGTAAAATGTGCATTGAACAGTATAGTCAGACAAACAGTCCACACAGTGAAAAACACTGCACTGGAGTAAAAGGTTGCTGATGCGAGAAATCTCTTTAATAAATTCCACAATAATAACCCAAAAGACTAAACATTTCAGGCTTTACAAAGCCCTAGTGGTTGCCAGTAAAGACCAAAATCTAGACTAAAAGTGCCACAAATAATAGTTTTATAGTTTTTACAGGCTTGTTAACCACTAATTACTGTACTCTGTAGCTTTTAGCTGGGTGTAAATACAGGGAGTGCAGAATTATTAGGCAAAT